GGGGAGGTGGAAGGGGCAGCCCCTCGCTGTGCTCACCAACCACCTACCACTTGCCATACACTGGTCATGAGATGAGGGTACCTGGGTAAACAAGGCTCAGTCCCTACCTGAGCAGCGGTACAGTCGGGGAACTCTGGGTCCTGTTGGCATTTTCCACCCCGACGGTGTGCACACCCCTGTCCTAGCTCTTGCCACAGTAGACTCCGCCAACATGGTGTCTCCTTTCCTCTGAGCCCAGCACAAGGTCTGCTCATGGGGAATAGAGCCTGAAGGCGTCATTTCTGTGTGCCTAATTGGCTGAGAATCGGTGCTGTGGTGCATTCTTAGTACAGTTTGAAAGTCGTATTTGGCAGTGAGGAGAAAAGAAACAGAGCTAGAGATGATGTCACACCTAGGTGTTGGCACCGACGGATGTTTTGGGTGGGCAAGAATTAAGTATTCGTTTTTCACATGTTATTTGTCCCGGTGTGGCAGAATCTACTAGTTCAAATCTGGTAGGCCATTGCCCAAGTTTGCTGCCAAGGGAAGCAATGTTGGTGGAGGTGCAGATTTGGCGTCCTCACTATTTAGGAGATACGTGAAACTACTAGAGATTGAAATAACCCTAGAGAAGAGGGTCTGGAGAATGCCCACATTGAGAGAGAAAGAGGCAGCTACTGATTGCAGCAGGGTAAAGAGTGAAGGGGAAGGTGGAGGCATGAGGCAGGTGATCCGGAATGCCATTAGATGTCTTTGGCTATGTGGTCTGTCATTCAGTGGTAAGAGCTTAGGCCTACAGAACACTGTCTCTGTCTCACGTTGATTGTTTTTTTGTCCTGTTTTACTGGTGAGAAAGCTTGCCTATATACAACTTGTCAAATAGTCTTTCCAGGTCGGAGTGGGAGGTGTGGCCCTGAACATAGCTGCCGTAAGGAGATGACATAGAGTCATAAGTGGCTCATAAGTGCACAGACGATAAACACCCGAGTGCCCCTGCGTAAGTATAAGGTTACCCAGCATCTCATCACCAGTTGGCTTTAGAGCCCACATCTGTAAGCATGTACGGCATGTCACGCTCTGCTCTGAAAGCTTCACATCTGTCCTAATTTCATTGTCACACAACCCTCTGGCCATATTCCCAAGGCCACATAGCTGATGAGGGGTAAAGCAGG